CTGATTGATAACGACCCTCCAGGACAGAGTAGGCTTCCTGAGGCTGCAGGTCTTTACAGAAACTGGCTTGTCCGTATTTCTGCTCAGCAGAATAGCTGGTGAGTTCAAACTGCTAAACCTGGTTAGCAGCTATAGTTTGTTGGGTTTTTGTGGGTTTTGTTTTTTTTTTAGCAGCCATACTTTTAACCACTGCACCACCAGGGCACCTTTTAGAGTTGACAAGGACCATCTTATCAAGTCCTTTTTCTAGGTGAAAGATTTGACATCTAGAAAAGTTAAAGGGTTTGGTCAAAGTTACAATGTTTGGTCAAATTCAGACGAGGAAACCAACTTTCTTTTTATGATATCATTAGAGGATATTCTGCAGTTGTTGTTATGGACCATCAAGTTGGAACTGACTCATAGCCGACCCTCCAGCAGGTTTCCAGAGGCAGGAAACTGCAGGCGGGGAGACTGCTCATCTTTCTCCTGTGGAGCAGCTGGTGATCCAGACCACGCTGAACCTCTGTGCTGGCAGCGCAACTCCTCAACACTAACTGACCAGAGCTCCCTACGGTTATATGATGGGGGACATTAACGTAGGATTCCTGGTGCCTCAGTGTAGTATTTTTGGCAGCTAACCAAAAGATCAGCCATTGGAATCCATCATCTGTTACACAGGAAAAAGATGGGAAGTCTCCTCCCATAAAGATTTACAGGCTCTGAAACCCAGTGAAGGGTCCCCAAGAATCAGAATGGACTCCGTCAGGTACAATGAGTGTTTGGTTTAGTAATCAGATCAAATTGATGCATGGGTCCTTTCACTCGATGATGATACTCAAGTTCGATTTAAAAAAGAGTGAAGGTAAGAGAACTTAGAATTCTTTTCTAAACTTCTTGGTTAAGAATAGCCAGGACTTGTGCAAATATTTTGGTGGTAAGTTGGAGAATCAGAGGGAGGCTTAAAAGATACAGTGAAGAAAGAGGCCAAGCATTTGGTGCTTCGATGAATTTAAAAGGACAATTGCCTACATGTAAATGTAAGGGAGGAAATGCTGCAGAAGTCACCATTGTCATGAACAAGAGAAAACTACTGTGCTTTACTCATCAAGGCTGAGGGAAAGGGTATGTAATTTGGGTATTTTGTTTGTTTGTTTTTTTTAAAAGTAGTATTAACCAAAGATCTGTTCAATAATTAGAGTTTGAGCAGTGTGCAATAATGTGTATTTATAGTATATTGATGTTGTTATATGCCATTGAGTCCACTAAGACTTAGACTCTATGAACAACAAATCTAAACCTTGCCATATTCTGCACACTCCCCACGATTTCTGACATAGTTGAACCTTTTGTGACAGTCACTGTGTCCACCCATCTTGAAGGCCTTTCTCTTTCTTTGACTGCTTTTCCAGCATGATATCTTTTTCCAAAGACCACCCCCTCCTGACAAGGTACTAAAGAGCAACGGTGTCAATTTAAAGACTAAGGTATGCATATTCCAAGTCAGAATATTTTTCAACTACTTCTTATGCATCTGAAAGTTGGACAGTAAACAAGGAAGACTGGAGAAGAGCCAATGCCACTTAATTGTAATGCTGGCAAAGAACACTGAATATTTATATTATAGATTTTAAAAAGACAGACAGTTCCAGCACAGATATTGCCACAATATCTGTTATAATAACAGATTATAATAATGTTGAATCATGCTCTTAAACATACTTGAAAAATGATTGATTTCATTTTCTCTGCATGTTTCATTCTTTTAAGGGCAATATTTCCCTTTCAGGTATGTTGTTAAGTACAGTTGAGCCAAGTATGAATCATAGCAACCCTAAGAACAATGGATCAGAACCCTGCCCTATCCTATGCCATCCTGACCATCTCTGGCATACTCTATCCCACTATTAGAGTCATTCACTGTGTTAATCCATCTCATTGAGGGTCTTTCCCTCCTTCACTGATCCTCTACTTTTCTAAGCATGATGTCCCTTTCCAAGGACTGGTCCCTCCTTCCTAACAATATATCAAAAGTGTGCGAGACAAAGTTTCACCATTCTTGCCTCCAAAGGAACACCGTGGCTGCACCTTTTCCAAGACATATTTGTTTGTCCTTTTGGCAGTCCATGGGATATTTAGCACTCTTCTCCAGCACCACAGCTTGAAGACATTAATCCTTCTTCTGTCATCTTTATTCATTGTCCAACTTTCAGTTGCATAGCAAGCAACTGAAAGGACTGTGGTTTGGATCAGGATCATCTTAAGTCACAATGACATCATTTCTCTTTCAAGCGTATATCTTTAATTTAGAAGAAACCTCAAGCGCCACTTTAGCCTCTAGAAATTTAAAAACGTGGAAGTAATTTTTCTTTGTTTTGGAGTATTCACTTCATTTTCCTCCCATTACTACTTTGCATTGGAAACATTTGACTCTTAGCTTAAACAGGGATGTACTTTGGCTGTTTTTTCTTCCCCTTTCCTCCCTAATGGCTCCATCTCTAACTACTTCATAAATGTCTCTTTATAGTCAAAGGTGGGGGTCAATGAAAGAGAAGGACCTTTAATGAGATGGATTGTCAGTGACTACAGCAGCAGGCTCAAGTATGTCAGAGATTGTAAGCATGGATAGGACAGGGTTCAGATCTGTTATATATAGCCACCATGAGTCGTACTTGATTGATTCAGCACCTAACAGTAACTAATAGCAGTGGTTTCCAAAGTTTGGTCCCTCCAAATAATTTCTTTCTGTCCACTCTTACAGTTTGAACTATAACCTCTATGCATTTGACTCCAAATGGAATTCCTCTCCCTCTTTCTTGAAGAAAGGTTTGCCTGCATACTTTTCTAATAGTTCACACTGAACACTCCCTTAGCTAAATACACCATTCTCAAACACATTTAGGGAGCTCTGGTTGCCTAATAATTTATTACCTCTGAAAACTCACTGAAAGGTCAGCTATGACTCAGTTCTGTCTTGACTGCACACACACAACCACCACCCTTTCTCTTATAGGAGCCTGATAGCACAGTGGTTGAGCACTCAGCTATGGACTGAGTGCTGGCAGCTTAAGCCCTCCTCCCTGGCTCTGGTAGAGAAAGATCAGGTGATATGCTCCCATACTAATGATGGCTGTGCAAGTCCTATAAGGCAGCCCTCTGCTGCCACACAGGATCCTTTTGAATCAGGAATGGACTTTCCGTCACCAAACCACAACCCTGCTCTTGATCACCTGAGCTGATGATTACCCAAAGTCATTGTTCACTCTTTCCTCTTTTGCCAATGTTTCTTGAATTTCATTTCTATTTGTTTTCGTACTTTACCGAGCATGCACTTCCCGACCCATATACCTGGCATGTTCTCTCTTTTTTCTAAAGGCTAACTTAAATTTCCCGTGAAATCTTGAGTCACCAAAACAACTATGAGATAACATCTCACCCCAGTCAGAATAGCAAAATTTAACAGAACAGCAATCAACAAATGCTGGCCAGGTTGTGGAGAAACTGGAACCCTTATTCACTGTTGGTGGGAGTGTAAAAAGGTGCAACTACTGTGGAAGGCTGTATGGCGCTTTCTCAAAAAGCTGCAAATAGAGATACCATTTGACCCAGCAATTCCACTACTGGGAATATACCCTAAAGAGACCATAACTGACATCCAAGCAGATGTATGCACACCC